ATATATTTAAAAAAATTGACATATATACTTAAGAGAAAAAAAGGATATTGCATTTAAATTAGGAGTTCATAAACAACCAAGAAAACTAACTTTATGGTTACTGTGGGAAAGCTTAAAAACACACACAAATTAACTTCTTCTAAGAACAACATGGTACAAATTAACACCTTCAAAGGCAATGACCACGTGTGCACTAGATTATTATTACACAAAATTGCTTCATAATGTCAATTTGGTGTTTTACCAATCTTCTAAAATAAAAGACTTTCAGTGGAAAAGTTACATTGCACAAACCTGATGGAAAGTCTGCTTCCAGATCCTGTTCAGTTTCCCCTTTTGAGAACTGCTTCAATTCTGAATCAGCCTCTTGCACGGCATTTGACTTTAAGGCATAATGATTCAACTCTTCCTCCCAGCTATGTGGAGTAGATACTGCCTCTGATTCCAGGTCACCACTGTATGTGCTTCCTTGGTCTGAGATAGATAGAAAGCACAGCTTCAAAATAAGATAGACTGTTAACGTAGCCAGAAACCTTCCTGAAACCCCTAAATACCAAAAACAGATATGGTTGAGGAACAATTACCCAGGTACATTTAACTTATTTACCAGTCTCACAGAACTGGATTCATATTCTTGGTAAACAGTTTAAAGCTTTATCTCAATCCTTAAAATCAATATTTGGGGGGGAAAAACAAAACAATATTTGAGGTAGCTTTTATTATTCTCATTACAAATTAGCACACAATCATAAACACCCAGTACCCCTAAAATAGCAAAAATTTCAAATATTTAATCCGAGGATGCTAATAATTTACGGGTTTGTATTATTAACAGGACAGTACATGATTCTAAGATCCAAAATATATTTACAATTACAAACCTTTTTCAAATATCTTTGTGTCTAGAAAGAGTTCTTGTTCAGAAGTTTGGGATCCTAAAGAAAAAGAAAAGCACATAATAAATAATTTATATGTACACACAAAGCAAACTGCATCAAAATAAAATGACGGTACTACATACATGAATCACAAGAGAGAGTTCTAAGGAAATAGCCTTCACATGCAGAAAGAATGTTTCATTAATAAAAGTAGGCATGCATAGTAAATGAAGTTAAATTATGACTTATAACAGCAGTTAAACTTTTAGGTAGCAGTATGAAAGAAGTCATGACAAGAGACACTTTATTTTGCATTTTGCTCTCATGTGCTACCTGGAATTCTTCCCCACCCACAACACACACACACACACACACACACACACACACACACACAACATATTCACAGATTTGACAAATCTGTTTAAATTCCTTTCTAAAGTATAATATGCTATAACATAATATGCTTTAACCTCTAAAATATAATATGCTATAACACTGCATTGGAAAACCAATAGAATTAGAACATAAGTTACATGAGCAGCCTACACATGGAACTAAACAGAACACAGTTCTATCAATTATAAACTACTTTAAAAGTAAGAAGCTAGCCCTGGCCAGTGTGGTTCAGTTGGTTGAATATCATCTCATGCACCAAAAGGTTGGTAGTGTGATTCCAAGTCAGAGCACATGCCCAGGTTTCAGGCTTGATCCCCGGTAGGGGAGTACAGGAGGCAGCCAATCAATATTTCTCTTTCACATTGATCTTTCTTTCTCTTCCTCTCCCCTCCTCTCTAAAATCAATAAAAACATTTTTTTAAAAAATAAAAGAAGCTTAAGGATTCAAAGTAGTAAAAACTATTTTTTTAAAGACCCAGGAAAATTACTTCTTTCCCTGAAATCAAAGATAAGTTATCCAGATCCCTTCAGTTGAAATTCATTTTTCCCTCCTTTATGTTTTTAAACTATTTTATTTTACTTACACTATAGTGATTACAACTATCTGTCTTGAACTTAGTTTTGAAAGTTCTTCTGTCTCATTCCAATTGTAGGCTAAGGCAAAGTCACACTACATTTGTACAGAGGAAGCACTTGATAAATGTTAACTGTTAACATGAATGTAGAAGCCAATTTAAATTGAGGTTTACCATCAGGTATTGCTTGAACTTCAAAAGTAAATATAATATCAGAAAGTTACAAGATAAGCATAGGGACAATATTCTCAGACATTAAAATTCATATATAAATGGGTTAGAATTATGAGACCATACACTAAAGAACAAAATGAGACCAGAAACACTGGAATTAACAAATATGCTTTTTACTCATCACTCAGAACATATATGCCTTAAAAACTTACTGGCAACACGACAGAAAACTTAACTGTTTTTCAAATGCTACAGTGTTCAAAAAATTATCTAGCATTTCTTATGTAAAATCAAATCCCAGATAGCTTTGTAAAAACTGTCACTGAAAAAAAAAACTTGTCAGAAAAGAATGATTTTTTGGCTCATCAGTGATATACTAAAAGGCCTTTGTGAAAATTCACTGATGTATTTCAACTATCTTATACACCATTTTATCTCTCTTTTATCATTATACTAGTGGCTGGTGCACAGATTGGTGCACATTGAAAGGAAATTAATTAGAAGAAATATTTTAATATCTTAATAAATATTTTAATAAATAAGTACTTGTCGATGACTGTTCTTCAGACATTTTCTGCCAACGACGCCGGCTTCTTTCAGCTTCAGCAGTACGTTGTGCCAATAGTTGTTCTTCAGACATATTCTGTCGATGACGTCGCTTTCTTTCAGCATCAGGGATACGTTGTACCAATTGTTGTTCTTCAGACATATTCTGTCGACGACACCGTCTTCTTTCGGCTTCAGAGGTACGTTGTGGCAATAGTTGGTCTTCAGACATATACTGTTGACGATGCCGTTTTCTTTCGGCTTCAGAATGTCAACAAAAACAACCAAATTTATGATCGACAATGACAGATCAAAACACACGTGTGCGATTGGTGCCAGCGAGAGCTTTATATGTATCGTGCATGCGTGAGTTAACTCAGCCTTTTATATCTAAACTAGAGGCCCAGTGCACAAATTCATGCACTGGTGGGGTACTTCAGCCTGGCCTATGGGGATCAGGCGGAAACCAGCTCTCCGACACCCCCCCGGGGGATCCCAGATTGCGAGAGGGCGCAGGCCAGCCCGAGTGACCCCACTGGTGCACAATAGGGGCAGGGGAGAGACCATGGGAGGTTGTCCGGCTGGGAGGAACCACGGGAGGGCTCCAGGGAGTATCCAGCCCGTCTCACCCAGTCCTGAATGGCTGGATCCCAGCAGTAGGCTAAGCTACCAGTTGAAGGTTAATGTGCATCATAGAAATGGGTCGAATGGTCGGAGAGACAATTAGCATATTAGGTTTTATATATTAAAGGCTAATAGGCTAAGTGTCCATCCAGGTAATGTCATTTAGCAACACCCGACTTCCTCTCCCTAGCAATGACTAGCCTCCTTGCAGTTTCTTCAGCACAAGAACCCGACTTGCTTTATAGCCAGGTGCAAACATTTCGCACTTTAACCAAATGTCTGTGAAGCGTTTTCCCGTGCCTCGTATGATCTGATCCTCACAGAAGTCCTGGAGTAGGTAGATAGGAGACTCAGTGGAATCCCATTTTCTTTTCATTAGCTGGAAAACAGATTTAGAAACTTGACCCAACTGAAAAGAAGTGAGAAATGCTGGGCCTTGAAAATAACTTCAGGTTTTCTCCCTGCACAGTATATCGTCAAACACTGCTGCAGTTAAATATTTTACCCTTTGTTCTCCCTGCGTGAACTACAATAATAATCTCCTTCATGTTGGTATTTACTGCTGTGTTGTTGACAACTACCTGAAAGAGAAGTTGGGGTGCTTCACTGGGCTGGAAAAAGTTTAGCTAAATCAGAAAGCAGGTCTAATTAAGCAAGTTTATTCTAGATCTATAAAAGGCTGTTTACTTGTGCATGCGCATACATATAAAGCTCTTGCTGGTGGCAATCACACATGTGTGTTTTGATCTTGTTATTGTCGATTGTGAATTTGGTTGACACTTCTATTATAGAGAAAGGGTGAATAGAGATATTAAAATAGTTCTTCTAATTAATTTCCTTCCAATGTGCATTAATCCGTGCACAGGCCGGGTTAAATTGTTATTATTGTAGATTATGCAGATCTACAATAGAGGGCAAAATATTTAATTGTAGCAGTGTTTGACTATATTCTCTGCAGTGAGAAAACCTGAAGTCAGTTTCAAGTTCTACCATTTCTTACTTCTTCTCAGTCAGGTCAAGTTTCTAAGCTTTCTAAATCTCCGTTTTCCGGCTAATGAAAAGACTAGGATTCTACCGAGTCTCCTATCTACCTACTCCAGGACTTCTGTGAGGATCAGATGAGATGAGGCATGGGAAAACGCTTCACAGACATTTGGTTAAAGTGCGAAATGTTTGCACCTGGCTATAAAGCAAGTCGGGTTCCTGGGCTGAAGAAACTACAAAGAGGCTAGTCATCACTAGGGAAAAGAAGCCGGGCGTTGCTACGTGACATCATTACCCGACGTCCACAGCGACCGTTTCTGGGCTGGGCTGAGCTGAACTGTGAGCCGCATTTTACACCATGGCAGCATTGGCTGCGATTCAGTGGGGTGTCACTCCAGAGTGGTGGCAGAGCCTGTGTCCCACTTAGGAAAGCAGAGTGTTGGTTTGTCGGTGCCAGGTCCTTGGTGCCATTTTTTTTTTAATATATTTTTATTGATTTCAGAGAGGAAGGGAGAGGAAGAGAGAGATAGAAACATCAATGATGAGAGGTAATCATTAATTGGATGCCTCCTGCACATTGCATCAAGCCTGCAACCAAGGCATGTGCTCTTGACTGGAATCGAACCTGGGACTCTTCAGTCCATAGGTTGATGCTCTATCCACTGAGTCAAACCGGCTAGGGAGCCGTTTATTTTTAATTGGCCAGTGCACATGATGGCAGCTCCTGCGTTGATCGTTTGCCCCTTATTTTTAAGTGGTCAGTGCGCGTCATAGATACTGGTTGGAGGGAAGGATGGACACTTAGCCCTTTTTATATATAGATCGCTTCTTATATCCAAAACCCAGGAGCTGCTAATTAAGGCTAAAAACCTTTCAGGAGTCTATATTACTGAGTTCTGGTTAATATCACATATCATTTGCTTTGGAGTCAGATATGGATTCAACTCTTGTGTCATTTACTTCCTGACTGTGTAACCTAGGCAAGTAAAATATCCTATTTTCAACTGAAGAATCTGAAGTAAACAGTAACTCCCCAATAGGGTTGCTGTGACATTAAACGGGGTGACGTACATAGTGAATGTGGGACAATGCCTAGACTATGGTAAGCATATAAATGTTAACTATTGTTACCATTATTCTACACCCAGAATGAGATTTATCAATCAATTACTTGAGCCAATAGTTTTCCATTCTGCTACTAACATGCTAGTTATTACACAACTAGAGGCCTGGTGCATGAATTCCTGAACAGGTAGGGTCTGGCTGGCTGTGCTGGCCTTGATCGGGGTGGGCCGCGGTGGGCAGGAGGGGAGAAGGGAGCGGGGACACGGGAGGTAAGCCACCAGCCTCACTCTCATCGGGCCGGTTGTCTCATCGGGCCGGTTGGCCGGTCACAGTGCATGTCATAGAAACCGGTGATTCCAGTTGCTTGGCTTTTATACATATAGGTAGGAATTCTTATCTGAGGACCATGATTTCAATACAGGGATAAAATCAGGAAATGATCATGAAACTCAGATTTATGGTTTTCTGGAATAATTAACACTAAAAACTGCATTGAATATCAGCACTTAGTTTCCTTCCTTAAAAAGTGAGAATTTTCAGAGATATCAAAAAGGTTAACAAACCCACAGACTTGGTATTTAACACAATAAAGCGTTTAGAAACACCTTGACTGCCGCATCTCTAAAATTACTTGTTACAGGAAAATGTGTAGGGGTATTTTTTTCTTTCTTTACTTTAAAATTATACCAACCTCCCTGAGATAGAGTCTTCTTCTCTTCATCTTCTACAATCATTTCTGCCATCTCAAGGAGATCGGCTTCAAATGGATGTGAAGGAAGCTTTTCATTAAGGTCTTCAATACTCTCAGTGGCTTTATCTTCATTATCCGTCGAGGATGGAATAAGCATAGGGACAGGCATCTAAAAGACCAAGGATGGACTGAAGAGTTTCTTGAGCAACAGGTTCATCATCAAAGGTATTATTTATGAGATCATATAAATATTAAAATAATAAACAAATTCAAGATATTTTTCTATTGCTGATAATTAAAGTACTATTGCTAGGGTTTTTTAAAATAAGAATACAGCCATTTAAATCAAAATTTAGTAAGAGCTTTTCTGCAAACTCAACAAAATGTGTGTCTGAATACACCAAATGGATAATTGTCTAACACACCTTTGTTTTGCTTTTGATTATATTTCTTGCTTAATATTCTCACACAACTGTTTCCCTTAAAAATTCAATACTGAGGAAAACTACATTTCTAATAACAAAATCAATACCTTTTTCTTTAATAAAAAGTAAGAATCATATAAATCACATTCATCTTTTCAACCTTTCTAGAATCTAGTGTTCTGACACACAATTTCTGATCTTTTTCTGAGATTTATGGCTTTGTCAAATCATTAACACTAAAAACTGCATTAAACATCAGTATTTAGTTGTATGAAACAATAAAAAAAGCTACCTTATAGCCTTCTCTGACACGGTAAGGTACAAATAGAAGCAGTCCTTTATATACTCCACATTAAATAATGCAGTCATACAATAATAGCTAACCAGAGTCAGGTGTGTTTTACCAACAAGTGAAAAGTTTTTTATGGAATTGTTAAAATTTTATTAGAGGAAAATGTGTACTAACTTAATCGTAGCATCTATATGATTACTCACTGGAACTGGAATTCCAAATGGGACTGGTGCATACTGAGTATACAGATGAAGAGGTATGGGCACAAACACTGGTACAGGAACTGGCACCATAATGACCTGGGATGGGCTTAGTGTGTTTTCTGATGAAAAAAAGCACAAAAACAAAAAGGGTTAGAAACAACATTTTATAAATATTCAATAAATATTTTTTAAAAATATATAGAGATTTATAGTTCAAGAGAAATATAATCTGTAATACTAAGAGTTCATAAAAAGGAGAAATCCCTAGCTGGTTTTGGCTCAATGGATAAAGTGTTGACATGCAGACTGAAGGGTCCCAGGTTCAATTCCAGTCAAGGGCACATGCCCAGATTGTGGACTCGATACCCAGTGTGGAGAGTGCAGGTGAAGCATAGTAACCTCAATCTTGGGTAGAAATTGCTATTTAAATTTTAACCCAGCTATTCTGGCTTCTGTAAACATATGCTTGCTTAAATAACAGGGTAGTTACCTCAGTTTCCAGATTGAGACCTAGAAACTCAACATAAATCACCCAATTATGTTGCCAGCCCATATCACAAAGGTTATTCTTCTGTGCCTGAGGGCCAAAACCACAAGACTGCTTCCCGTTGACTCAGTGGCTCCAGGAATTGGGACTGTAGATGACCTTTAGAGATTATTAACTTTGCTCAATTCTGCTTCTGTACAATGTGCTTTCGCAAGACAGCTCCAAATTCCAACATCTATCAGGATGTGGCTTTTGTCTTTATAAGCTTGCTACTGTAGTCACTCGGGGCTGCAAGATTTGGAGAGCTAATGCCCCCTCACTGGCTTTCGAATAAATGACTCCTTATTCGACTTCTTGATTGGGGTGTCCTTTGTGTGATTCACGGGGTACATTACAACACAGGAGGCAGCCGATAAATGAATCACTCTCATTATTGATATTTCTATCTTTCTCCCTCTCCCTCTCTGAAATCAATAAAAATATATTCTAAAAACAAAAAGGAGAAATAACTAAAGTAGCAAAGAAAAGTTTGAGTATAGCACTAACAAAAAAGTGAGCAATACAATGATTATCAATGATACAATGATAAAATTAATGAAAGATATAATGTGGATGAATAAAGGGAAGGATGGGAACAGTGATCACAGATGAGGGGTATGAATAGCTGTTAAAACGAGTAAGTAGATTATGTTAAAAAGCAGACTGAATAAGTAGAATGACCATTTTTGTGAAATCATTTCTAGTAGTAGTGGGGAGCAATTACAGATCCTTTAATACAAAGTAATGTGACAAAAATAGCATTAAAGAGATTAATTTGGCTGCCAGCAATGCACAGAATAAAATTACATAAAGTGTAAATGTAGGAGACAATTACAATATGTAGAGCTAACATGATGAAGGCCTGAATTAGGGTGACAATACCACCTACAAAAAACATATATATCTATACCTATAGATATAGATATAGATATAGATATAGATATAGATATAGATATAGATATAGATAGATATAGATATAGATATAGATATAGATATAGATATATATAGATATAGATATAGATATATGACTAGAGGCCCTATGCACCTTTTGTGCATGGGTAGGTCCCTAGGCCTGGCGGGTGATCAGGGCCTATCGGGGCCTTCCAGCTGCTGGCCAGGGCCTTTCTTCCAGCTGCCGGCTGCCAACTGGGGCCTTCCTTCATTCCGCGCCACCCCCTCATGGTCTGTGCATGTCATAGTGAGCGATCGAACTCCTGGTCTCCTGAACTCTTGGGGGGACACTTTGTATGTTAGCCTTTTATATGTATACATATGCTAAAGTATTACAAAGATGAAACAGACCTTGGAAACTAACTTAAATATGAGCAGGGAAAAGTGGGAAGGATGGAGGATTCATTCAATTATTTGATGAGTATTTAAAGAGTCCTTTCTTTGAGCCAGAAAAATATTCTAGATAACTATAAAATCATTAATGTAGGAGAAAAATCATGCTATTCACAAAAAGTGAAAAGCTGACAATTCAACTAGGGTTAGAAGTAGGAAATAATACAGGATCAGCTTTATCATGGTGCAGTGGATGTAAAAAGAGTTACCAGAATAATTTTAAAAAAAGAGTTACCAGAATAGAGATGTCTGATAACCAAGGTACATAATACAAAATAAGTATCCTATCTAATAAAAGAGAAACATGGTAATTGGCGTACGACTGCTACCCTTCCCATTGGCTAATCAGGGCGATATGCAAATTAACTGCCAGCCAAGATGGCGGCCGGCAGCCAGGCAGCTTGAAACTAACATGAGGCTTGCTTGCTTCAGTGACAGAG